ATCATAAATTAATTTCTCCAATATATATATCTTTTCATCTTTTTTCAGAATTTTTTCCAACATTCCAAATTTTTCGAATTTTTAATTTTGTATCAAGAGAATAGTGAACGAAAGAATGATACGATGTAAATGTTTCCCACGAATTGTTTCCAAAGTCGAAAAATTGTTGGTTGAAATTTTCAATTTTCCATTTCAAAAGAATATTTCAAATTTCTTGGAAAATGCCCGATAAATGTCTCGAGTAGTTTAAGCAAAGATCTCGAGTAAAACTATCTCGAAACTTTCACGATTTTGCTCTCGTGGCCATAGAGATAGAAGAAGGGACTACAATTTCCACGCGGTTAATCTCGTCACAATAGGAAACGGTTGGTTTACGCTTCCTTTCGCCCCTTTTCAAAACTAACTTTTTCCATTTTATGGGCAAATAATGATCGAGCCCCTGGCAACGGAAGCAAAGTTTCGCGTTTCCTCGTTTCCCCGTAAAACGGGATATTTCAATTATGGACGACAAGCCGGCTGAAGGATGAGAACTCGAAGGAGGAGAATAACGATAAGGATCGGAGGGAAAATTTGAAAAGGAAGCATAGTTCGGTTCGTATCTCGTTAACGGAGATACAAAATACAGGATTGTCTGGATGGATGTATATAATCATTTTATTATCAAGAATAAATAATACGCGTGATATTTTCCTTAAGTTTTAATTGCACGTGGATTTAGCTAAATCAATCGATCATATTTTTATATTTATACGATGACTTTTATCATTTTGATGTCTGTTCTTGTCTCGAAGCGAGATAAGTAGTGTGGATCAGCAATTGGTCGGACACGTGGAACAAGAGAAGGAAGAAAATAAAAATAGAGTAGGAAAAAAGGGGGCTGTTTAAGTAGAATGAAATAATCGAGGTGAAAAGTTTTTTTGTCAAATATTGTTAAATTTTATTAATAAATGAATCTAGAAAAAGGAAGTTCAAGTTTTCAAAGAAAAATATTGTATTTGATATTCAAATATTCCAATAGAAAGAATTCGAAAAATAGATAGATATTATTCGATACTTTACGTTGGAAATTATTTGAAAGATTAGAAAAATTTCTTTCGATTATCGACAAATTTTTCTTTAAGAAGGATAACTATTGGAATTTTGATTACGATTAAAAAAAGAAAAAAGGAAATACATCGCGATGAATTTTCATACAAATTTTCCTATTTATAGATTCTAAATAATTGAATATTTCGAAACGAAGCATCGAATAAGCAAATTATCGATGAACAGTGGTTGATGGCATAAACGTCAAAAGTGACGGCAATTGAACTTGCACAACAACGAAAATATTTCCCAATAACGCGTCTAGTATTATTTGTAAATTTGCCGTTCGATTAAAATTCTCGCTGCATTTTTGTTTCTTTCCTTTTTTTTTTTTTTTTCTATTTTATAAATTGAAAATTTCGCATAAATTTTTACACCTGGCCCGTTCTTTTTTTTTCTTTTTTTTTTTTTATATCAATTTTTTGAAAACACACACGAAGCGATCGATAATTTAAATGGAAATTAGCGCGAAGCATTTATTTCGTTTTCGCGACGAGGAAGAATGTCAACGTTATTAAAATTAAATCCAACGGATAAAGAGAAACAAAATTGATGTTTCGAACTTCTTTGTTAAATTTTGTTATTCGATTCGTTGCTTTGTTCGACGACAGATGGAGGGATGAGAAAAAAGAACGAGAAAGGGCTTTTCATTTCCACGCAAAACGAAATGAAAATCGTTTACAAGATTGATCGTGTCCGGATAATCGATAGTTGTATCGCGACGAATTACTTCGTTGCGATTAGATAGATGTTTTCCAGGTGTATTTCTCTCCCCTTCCCTCTCTCTCCCTCGTTGTTCGTGACCTGCCATTCGAGAAAAGGAAGAACCGGATGTTTTGTGCGGCAACTGGAATGCGACGTGTCCGTCGTATAATAACGAAAAAACAAAGTAAAGTGGCAACGACGATGCGCCTCTGGGACGAAATTTGATCCAATAACAACTTTTCGCGAACGAAAAATTTGAAATTTCAACGTTTGTTCGCCGACTGTTCCTACATTTTATTTCGAATGGGTTCAACGTTGGATTCGATGTCGTGCAGAGTGTTGGATAGGATTGTTAGTTGAGAGGAGAAAGAGAGAAAGAGAAAGAGAAAGAGTTTTAGAAGTTGAATAAGTAGTATAAGTCGGTCGTTTGTGAGACAAGTAGCGTGGATCGGTCATTTGTCAGGCAAACGATAAAGACTGAAAATTTAATAATTGAAGTTACGAATAAAATTATTTTCATAAGTTACTCCGATAATTTATTGTTCAAAATATAATAATAATTGCAAATATTAATTCTAAATGACCGAGATCAGATGAAAAGATCAACTATAATAACTACGAATAAATATTATTCAAGAATTTTAATAATTATTTAAAGTAACTTTTAAATTTTTTTTTAGTTATTTTATGATTTTATTATAAATTTTTAATTATTTTTTTCATTGGATTAATGTCCAATTCTCGATAGGAACGAGATAGTCGTGATCAAACGAGTAGAATAAGATAGTCATTGGTTAGGTAGTAGTAGAGGTCAGCCATATCGATCGAAAACGAGATATTTCGATATGAAAGATGTTACAATTCGAAATCACGTTTATTTCTTATCCATTATTTCTGAAATATAATTTAAGAGATTAAAGATGATTCTGATTCTTCGTGGAAAAGAAAAGACCAATTTTATCAATTTTAAATTAAAATTTTCTGATTATTAAAAATTATTAAAAACATTCAAAAGATCACCACATAATCATTACGATCAATCGTAACATTGTACAGATATATTGCAAAGATATCCTTTGTTGAATTTTTGAAAATAGTGTCGTAAAACCATACACGTAGGGTGTAATATATACAGGTTTACAGGCGACACGACGTTATGAGATTTTTACTGAAAAGAATTATATAACTCTTGTGATATAAAGCAAAATGATAGAATATTATATTCGGCCTGGAAACTTTTTCCAACCAACTTGTCTCTTGCTTATTTCCAAAGAAACATTATATCCAACTCGGAACAAAGGAAACGACATACGAGATAAAGTTTTTCTCGCGTGGAAATCTCGAAATTGTTGTTGTACCTTTCTACAAAAACAAAGATAATTCGATTTAGTTCCCATCGTGTATCTTGATAATTAATTTTCGAAACGTCTTTGGATTGGAGGAATATCTCGATGAATTGAGAAGAGAGTTTTAAATTTGTTCTCGTATTCTCTGATTAACGTTTTAATAAATGGCAATAATTACAAGTTCTCTCGTTCGATCGATTAAAAGATAGAAACGAGGCGCCGATAAGTCTTCTCACTTTCAAACTTTTCTTCCTTCATTAATCACAAGACTATTATCCGTGGATAATTAAGGATCGCTCTTGTTTTAATTGCTTAAACGTGTTAAACTCGTTCCCCCTTTTATTAATTATAGATTTTCTTATTGTAGAACTTTAAGAAAATTATATTTGAAGGATTTTTACAAATTTGTTGTTATTCATTTGCGAAAACAAGGATACGTGATATAATTTATTTATAATTTAGCTCATAAATGTGAACGAAGAATATTTAAATTAGTTGGTTTTATTTGTTGGTTATTTTTAAAAAATGTATTTATATATATATATATATATTATCATCAAATATTTATTAAAAAACAATAGGAAAAATATTCTTCTTTCGTCAAAATGAAAAACTGCGATCAATTATAATTTCTCTTCCAATTACTTGATTAATTAATCTTTTTCAATACTCAACTTGAAATCTAATTTCAAACTAATAATTTTATTAATTGTTAATAAAACTTATGGATTGTAAATCTATAATAAAAGAGATTGACAATGATGGGTTAATTAATAGAAGATCTTAAAAATTTATTTGCGACGTAAATATAGAGAATCTCAAATATCGAATATGAATAAATAATGGAATAAAACAACAGTTAAATTGGTCGTAGAACGGCGAAATCGCTTTTAATTATTGAGAAGGAAAATGGTAAAGATCGGTATAAATTAAGAAACTCGTTTTACGTCGAATGACCTTTTTACCATAGTCTTATCGATTAATATTTTTTTAATAGCCGTAAATTATATCAGATAACTGTGATTCCCCAAATATTCTGACACCGTTACCCTGAAAATTTGTCGATTTTAACCTCCATTTAAACATTCTACTGCATTCTCGTTCAAAATTTATTCATTAAAAAATTCACTCTTTAAAGAATTATATTGCATTTATAGACAAAAAAAAATCTGAGGGAAAAAAAAGAATATTATGATATATTTACATTAATTAATGTGTGAAGAATATGAAATAATATGTAAAATGGAAAACATTAAACAATAATATAATATTTGCTTTTTAAAGATAGTAATATTTGTAATATAAGAGAAAGAAATTTTTTTAATTAATTAAAATTTAATTTTAATTAAAATACTACATTTATCTATATTTAAAATCATAATAAAAGAAGAATTGATGTAATTAATTTATAGTATTTATATTACTTTTGTCCTTTTTTACCTACAGTAGCTTCTCGTAAATCATTTATACAATCTACAATCAAAAAACAATAAAAAAGAAAAAATAAATCGTGATCCCAAACTAAAAACAAAACATCAAATTCAAACAATTTTATCAAACTTTATTCATTTGTATTATATTCAATAATATAAATCAATTCAGAGAATGCAAAACATTTATATTATAAAAAATCAAAGATGACCATTCCACCAGCGAATTCTAATTCGTCGAATCTTCCTCACGAAATCTCTCGAATTCTTCTACCGGAAATATTGCTTCAATTTTTATGTGATTTTTATGCTCAGTAATTTTTCCGACGAATCTCTTTACCGAGTGTCGATAACGTAATCTCAGAAAGAAAAACAAAGCGTTAAATCGCGAATGCTAAACTAATAGAAATCGATCTCGATTTTTTTTTTTCAGAGAACGCGAGTCGTTGGTGCAGGATAGACGGTATCTGGAGCAACTATAGCAACTATAGCCTCTGTCGAAATCTTCGCGAGCCAGCGATCGAGGGCGGTGCAGAGGTTATCTCGACGACTATATATTTCGTCGGTTATAGCATTTCGTTGATCACCCTGATCATCGCTGTCTCCATTTTTCTGTATTGCAAGTAAGTGGTATACATATAGCATTATTCCTCCATTAAAACACTTGTTGATTCCATATGAAAAGTAAAAATTGACCGGAGAAAGATGGATTTTTGATGAAAAAATGCATTTTTTCATGTTCCAATTTTTAATTTATTTTTAAAAAATTTTGAAACATTTATATTTTTCGTTAATTTTAATTCTCTTGGATGAATTAATTAGAATTAATTAATCTTTTTTTTTAGCAAAAATTAACGAAAAATGTAATAATTAATTCTCGAGCTCGAATCAATGTTCAAATAAATAGAATTTCAAGATAGAACTAAAGTTTATTGAAAAGCGATGATTGCATAAAGTGAATCATAACTTTTTCGATTGTAATCGATTAAAATTTTCTAACTTATGATATCAAATTTACACGAAAATCAAACTATTTTAACATTTAACAAATGATATTTTAACCACTTATTTAAAAAAATCTCAGAGAAAAAATCAACTCACAAAAACATCTATATTTATTCAATTCCTCCATCGCACAAATTCAATCAGCATCGCGCTCAAACTTTAATTTCTGTCTAAAAATATCCGTGCTCGACGACAAAGAAAGACGATATATTCCGTTCCTCTCGTTTCCATATCAATTCGTAAACGGAATCCAAAATGTAGCGCGACGCGGATGCATCGCGAAATCGATAAATAATATTCCCTCGCGAATATTCCGCGCACGATTCGATCTGCATCTTGACAAAGGGAAAACGCGATTAAATCTTTCACGCTTGCGCGGTAACGAACGAGAAGGCAGAGACGCATTGTTTGTTAACCACACTGTATCGAGTTTCCACCGCAATCGGAAATTGAACCATCGTCGAACGAAGGAATTCAAAATAATGTAATAAATTCTTTCTACGTCTTTTTTCGTGGAACGAGAGGAACGATTGTTTCAAACATGAAAACTATATATATTTAAAAGAACGAATGAAAATCGAGATATAAGCTTTGAAAACTTTATTATTTAGCTTCGCGTGGAAACTAGCTTTAAGGGATGAGCGGAACTGCGAAATAACTGGGTTGAAAGTGGAAGATTGTGCCATGGAAATTCGATTGGGATAGATTAAATTGAAATAATTCGTTTTTGATCGTTATACCTTTCTTTTCTTTTTCTTTTTCTTTTTTTTTTTTTTTTTTTTTTTTTTTTTTTTTTTTTTGATACGTGGGCAGTGAAAAGTTTTTTATTATTTTTTATGGGAAATACGAGATGGAAAATCGAAAACAAAAAATTTGAAATTTATAACTGGAAATTTGAAATTTATAACTGAGTGAGATAAAAATTTTGAAGCAGAGATAAATCTTTTGTTCTAATTGTTTCAAATTTTTTTGTATTTCGGTGTTTTAATATATAGATTAACGATAATAATCTTTTTGTTATTTCTCTTCTGAAACAAAACGAAGTTTAAAAATTAGTAGAAATAGAATTCTGAAAAAGTAAATTTAATCATAACCAATTTTATAAAGGAAAAAAAAAAATAAATTCATGAAATTTAAATTCGAAATGAAAAATAAAAAACATTTATTTATTTTTTTCTCTTAACAAACCACTTTTCTCGAATATCTTCGTAAAAGAAAGACACTCGAGATACGCTATTTAGATATTCAAATAAAGGAAATATATATTCGCATACGAAATTAAAGAAAAAAATGGAGGGAAAAAAATAAGAAAAAATGCACCTGTAATATATTATATATACATATCGCGCATAATCCTTCAGTTTCGCTTTGCATATAATATTGGGTCAATTTTTTTCATGGCTTCCTATCGCCATGAATCACCCTCCTGAGTCTCTCTTTTTTTTTTTCTCTTTTTCTCCTCCACTCTACCTACTCTCAATTTTATTCGTGAGGCGCACGCTCCTAAATGGTTCCTTTGAAAAGTAAAGCTTTTTAACCGAGGAACACTTTAGGCTAATGCGATGGTCGAAATGTACGATTGCAATGGATCGATTGCAAAAATTCCAATTCCTTTATACATCATAGGAGAATCTCCTATGATTTTTCTCTTTCAGATTGTCTTGCAATTTCACTTGGATTTTAAATTTATGTGACACGAGTCAACAACGTAACTATACATAAGAAAATTGATTGAAAGTTTCGTTGAAGATTTATGTATCGTCATAATGCATTACAAGATTCACAAAAGTCAGAGAAACAAATTAATCGTTCGAAAATTTCTTTATATTTCTTTTATCTCTTTTTGAAGAAAGATTTATGATGAATTGTGATACTTGTTATTTTTTTGTTAATAATAATTTTGATACGTGAAAATTGATTGAAATGTATCTTTATTTTTATTGAAACGAGATTTTCTTTGTTATAATTTATTTATTTTGATATTATCTCCTTCAAATTCACATTGGCTTACACGAATGATTTTACAGACATTACTTGGGGTTGTAAATTAATGTAAGCTTGACAGTCTAATGGATGACTATTATCCTAGTCGTAGATTAATGCAAGATGGATAGTAGATTATGTGAATAGTTCATAATAGAGAAATCTGATATAGGTTAAATTAATAATGAAAATAAATAAGTGATGACGTTTCAAACTCGCGTATGATATAATGATTTTTTTTTTTTTTTTTTCATGAAAAAGTTTCAAAATAATTCGAAACCGATATTTTCACGAAATAAAAAGATTCGAAATTATGTTCAAGTTTCATCAGAAAACGTGGAAAGGATATTATACGTGGAATCGTAAACAAGTAAAAGATAATAATTCACGATATCACGATTCTCCTCAATATGGAGGTAATTAGTCGGCATTATGAGATATATAGTCGGCCGAGTGTAATTATCTCTTCCTAAGCTTTGAAATCAAAATCCCGCATGCAAAGAGAAATTTCGGCATATGGACGAGGAATATGGACCGAGTGTAGTGCTCGAGAACACGGATATTTTATTAAGAGCATTTGCAATTTGAAACGAATTCCCATATGAAAAATTCATTATTTTCACTCACGGATGTATTATTAGGCTCTTGTATACTAAAATTGTATACTTGTATACAATAATATTATATAAAATTATATTATAAATTTTATTTATTATATCATTTATCATGTTATGATAAAATTTTAATTCAATTTTTATTACATCAAGTCATAATATTTAATCGAAATAAAATTCACAAAATTTTATGTATTTTTCTTGATCAATTTTGCATTTCTTCGTTCTTAATTGTCAATCTCGAGATTTTGAAACTTATAGATACATTACGGATATATAAAATTTTTACAATGAAGTGGATTAATGAAATGGAGCTTAAATATAGATTTGTCTTATTCTTCAAATATCATAATGCGTACAATATTCATATCATGCGTATTCTACAGATTTTTGTACTAATCAAATTCTTCGTGAAATGCATAATCACTTATAAAATATCATTAATGTAACAAGGATTATAAATAAATACAATAATATTAATCGAATTGCATAAGAAAACTCTGAATACATCATCATCAAATTATTAAAAAACATTATTCTTCCATTACACTACAATTATTAATTATAATAAGGGAATGAAAATTCTAATTAAATGAATAATAAAAATTATTAAAACACGGAATAAAAATTGGGAAGAAATAAATAGAATCGTAGGTTGATTTACGAAAGGACTAAAGAAAACAGCGGAAACGTTATATCATCAGGAGCAGATTTTTTTTCTTCGCATCGTTACCACAGGGACCCTCCTCCATTTTATTTGATACGCTCTTCCTTTGTTCTCCGTCCATTGCATCCTATGCGCCGTATGTACGCTTAACAATTAATCGGGCTTTTGCAAGGCAACCACTCTCACGGCTGTTGAAAAGCAATGGATGTTGCACACCTCGGGATAATTTGCTTTAAATTCGTGCCACCGATTGAACGTTATATAACGGAGAAGAAGATACTTTTGTATCGGTTTTGTGCGAATGAAAAGAATGTACGGTTTAATTCAATGAAAACATGAAAATACTCGTTCGAATTTAAGCGCGAAATCTTGCGAAAAATAATTTCGAACGAGTTTTACGAGAATTCCATTGCATCCACGAATGTCTTTCGAATCTTCTTTTTCTTTTTTTTAGTCATGGATATTCTCGAGTAATTTTCGTAACAATGGTGATTTATATTATGAGGCTTAAAAAGGAAATTTCGAGTAAAAAATTTTTGGCGGGAAGATGAAGTATTTTAAATTTTACTTCGTATGATACGAATTCTGCTGGAATTCGAATTAGTTTATACGAAGTGTAGTTTATTTATTGTATATAGAATCATGCCAAAGAAAAAGGATAACACTGAGAGATTAAAAGTAGCAGCTCTTTTTTCATTTCTTGTCCACTATTTGCAATTCTAATCTAAATATCTGACGAAATTAACGCTTCTACTTTATAATTCCAAATATATACATCTTCTAAACGGTTATGTTCTGATAACGGGAAGATAAAATCGGAAGGAATTTAACGAGAAATTATCGTCTCCTCCTTTGTCTCCGTAATATCGTGCAGCTGAAACGATCCTCGCGAAACACAACGCAATACACGAGCGTTACGCCATATCTGATTCAGGAATTACATCGTTGGCTGACATTCATGGACGTAAATCATGGTTCTGGCAAATGGTTCGTTCCTCGTGAAACCTCGTTCCTCGTTGTACCTACGATTCTCTACGCGATTTAAATTACGGGATTTTAAATTTACGAAAGAAGGAAAAATTGTTGGTTTATTGGTTAAATAGCCGCGCTTATTACAGGTAGAAAATGTCGTTGCCTTTGTCAATTCTCTCCTGTTGCGTACTGAATATCTTGAGAAAAAAGAATTTTTTTCAACATCATTTCAAAACTCTACGCAAAGTGAAGATTTAAGTAATTGAAAGAACAAGAAAAAAGAGAAATTAAAAATTAAACATTGATGTAAATAATTTGCATTAAAATCAAAAAAGAATTCTTTTC